CATGAGGTTACCCCAACGGATGGGCAAGTACATAGGGCCATACACAACACTTGCCATGGTCGAAGATTCTTCGTCACAGACAACGGACTAATTGGGCTAGCACCTGGGTCCACACGAGTCGGAGATCAAGTGATTGGAATTGCGGGATCCACGACTCCTTTTGTAGTCAGAGCTCTAGAAGTTCACTCAAACGTCTTCCAGTTAGTGGGCTTTTCTGTATCTAAGAGATTGTTGGATTCAGTGGGTACGCATCAAAACATGATCCTACGCTGAGCTTGAGGCGAGGACGTCTGGATAGTAGTATCTCACCAAGAAAGCATACGTCAAACGTGGATATTATGTGCTCCTATCATTGTTTCATTCTTCGGGTGGTTACGGTGGTATAGCCGTCGATTAGAAAAGCCATTCATAGGAAGGGTTTCATGGGCCTGTCTTATTTCGGCGGGTAAATTGCTCCGGAAGCAGTGACTGCTTCGACTGAAATCAAAGTCTTCATTGGCCATCGGCCTTTTCTTTACCCCAAGACTTCATGATGCCAAAGCGGGTACGGAATCAAATGATGGCGACGTTAATTGAAGCAAATGATCATCGAAAGAGAGATGTTAGATCATTACGACGGAATGCATTGGCAGCTTCGTGCGCTCATCCTGTTTACTTGACTATCAGGACATCTTCAACCGGCTGCTGCATTAAGCCTTCCAAGCCCGACGCACCTACATAAGGCCTTCAAGTGAGCTGCGACGTCGCCTAGAGCAAGAAACACCCATCTTGATGCTATCTCTCAAATAGGTTCGTTTAAGCACCGCTCCCGTCGGGGGCCCCCTGCAGCAACAGGGCTGAAAGAAGGTGTCAAGTCAGGTACCAAGAGCAGCAGATCTGATAAGGCTGTCGGGATCACCGAATGAGAGAGTGAGAAAAAAGCTTCATGAAACGCCACGCCATTCAGCTGCAGAGCATGAATGAAGTGGGAGCCTACGCGTCGCGTCTCATGAGCGTGGCAGGGATGCGGGGGTCCTCTGGGAGGGCTCTCAGTCATGGGCAGGCTCATGTGTGTTGACAGCTTCACTCTCATCTCATGTAAACAACTCTTCGTGTGAAACCGTTTGACAAGCTGTCACTCGTGGTCATTAAGAAATGCTATGAGCACGGTTTCAATATGAAGGACTGAAAATCATATTTAGATCACCGCGCATCCCTCTCAGGAATCTCAGGATCAAACGACGTGTGGGAAACGGGCGATCATCAATGTTAAACTCAAACCTGCCGATTTGCCGCGTCGCTTATCGAGGCACAGCCGGTATTACCAGTATTACCTCAGTAAAGCAGCAAGAAAAAAGGGGGCAGGAGTCGCTGAATTTCTCAAAAGGATCGCGGCAGGAAAGTGGGGTACGTATCATCTCATGTCATCCCTGGTCGCCCTCCGTCCTTTCACCTTAAATTTTTCAACCACACACCAGCGACACCACCACCCACCACCACCCGCCAAGGCTGAATGGAACATGCCGGCGCCGCTTTTAAGTGGATTACAAATCCGCACGTTGGTTTGCACTTTTGATGCGCCCCTGCTGCTTCTGCTGCTCAATCTCGACTGCACTGCCGCGGAACCTAACTGCGGACCGCAGAGTTGCTGCTGACCTGAACCCCTTCCAGCCGTCAAGCCGCGCCTCCGCTGCCGCCACCGCCGCCGCATGGTCCGAAGACGTTGTTGACGACGACCTGACCAACCATACGCACCTGAATTAGGAGCTTGCAGTGCCCGGAGAGACGCTGGTTCTCATAGTGACGCCTCGTCTCACTCACTCTCGTCTCTCATCGATGACATATCCACACCACCACCTCATCTAACCATCAGAACGACGACGACGAAGACGACGAACCGCTGCCCGTCATGTTCTCCCGCAATAAGGACCCCTCCCACATGTCGTCGCTCACCGGCCTCCGGTCGCGCTTCAAGAACAGCATGTCCTCCTCCGCCAAGATCCGCTCCTCCGAGGGCTGCTGGACATGCCGCCTGCGCCGTAAGAAGTGCGACGAGGCCCGCCCCGTCTGCGAGGGCTGCGCGCAGCTGGAAATCACCTGCCACTACTCGGAGACGAAGCCCGACTGGATGGACGGCGGCGAGCGCCAGAAGGAGATGGCCGACCACCTCAAGAAGCAGGTCAAGGTCCAGGCCAACAACCGCCGCGAGCGCAAGTATCTCCAGTCCCTCGACGTCGACGCGGCGGGGGGTGGTGGTCACCAGCACCGTCATGACGACTCGGACCCCGACCTCATCCCCCCTGTCCCGGCCCTCAGCGCCGACGGGGGCTCATCAAAAGAGACAAACTCGACCTCGCCGTCGACCGTCCACGACACCCCCGGCGACGCCTCCAGCCCGTATCACATGGAAACCGTAAAATCCTCAATCTCCGAGATCGCTCCCGGCGCATCTCCGAACCACGCCCGGCAACACACCCCGGACTGGAACGCATCCACCCACTCCAGCCCGCCCGCCGCCGCCGCCGCACCACACTCACAACCGGCACACTCACCGGCACCGGTCCTCGCCCCGGACCTCAACCCCACAACCCCCTTCCCCGACGACGCCAACCTCGGCTTCATCATGATCTACCTCGACTACGTCTTCCCCTTCCTCTTCCCCTTCTACAAGCCCGCCCTCCTCGAGGGCGGCCGCGGCTGGCTCCTCAACGTCCTCAACCACAACAAGGCCCTCTACCACACCGCCCTCTCCCTCTCCTCCCACTTCTTCGGCGTCGTCCTCAACGGCGCCCAGGTCGAGCACACCCCCTGCCGCGTCCGCTCTGTCGCCTCCCTCCAGCACCAGCTCGACCTCGCCCTCAAGGAGCTCCGCGCCGACATGGCCCTCATCAACGAGGCCGGCGACCCCTCCACCCAGCTCCAGCAGTCCTGCCGCGTCCTCGAGTCCATCGTCCAGCTCCTCGTCTTCGACGTCACCCTCGCATCCAACGACCACTGGCAGATGCACCTCGACGCCGCCACCATCGTCTTCACCCAGATCCTCCCCACCACCGACGCCTGGGACGCCACCATGCAGCAGATGGCCATCCCCCTCCTCCAGGGCGTCAACTTCCCCCCCGGATCCCACAAGCCCTGGTCCTCCGACCAGGCCGCCCTCCGCTTCTTCACGGCTTCCCTCCTCTACTTCGACATCATCTCCGCCACCGCCCTCGAGCGCCCACCCCGCCTCCAGGGCTATCACGCCTACCTCCTCTCCCCGCGCAAGGAGTCCGCCACCTGCCTCGAGCAGGAGCCCCGCCTGCGCCTCGAGGAGTACTTCGGCTGCCAGTCCTGGGTCCTCCAGCTCATCGGCGAGATCGCCGCCCTCGACGCCTGGAAGAAGGAAACCCGCCGCGCCGGCTCCCTCTCCATGACCCACCTCGTCTCCCGCGCCGGCTGCCTCGAGCTCGCCCTCCGCGAAGGCATCGCCTGCATGGACAACGCCTGCCCGCAGCTCCTCGGCTCCTCCGAGCTCGCCTGCGCCACCGGCTCCTGCGCCCTCACCGACGCCAACCGCCCGCCGCCGCACCCCACCCACGCCGACACCACTCGCCTCCCGCCCGACCCGCTGACCCTCTACCAGAGCGAGCAGGTCCGCGACACCCGCTCCGCCGCGCTCATCCACACCAAGATCTGGGCCTACGCCGCGCTGACGTACCTCTCCACCGTCGTCTCCGGCTGGCAGCCCTCCTGCCCCGAGACCGCGACCAGCGTCACCGCCACCATCGAGCTGCTCGACTCGCTGCACTCCCCCGTGTGTCTGCGCACCGTCGTCTGGCCCTTTTGCGTGATCGGCTGCCTCGCGACGCCCGCGCAGGAGCACATGTTCCGCGAGATGGTCGGCAAGATGGGCGCCCTGGAGGTGTTTGGGAGCATCCGCGCCGCGCTGGGGGTGATGGAGAACGTGTGGGCGGGGCGGGATAACATCGACGAGACGTGGGATCTGGCGGCGTGTTTCAAGGTCCTGGGACACCCTGTGCTGCTGACATGAGTTTGCTGTCTTGTCTGATCTGGCGTTGATGTTTAATGTGGTTTTTGAACAAAAGATGTTACGAGGATACCAAATGTACATGTCTTTCACTTCCAGGCGTTTTGGATTTCAGCATCGGTGCCGTAACGGCAGCCGTTTGCTCGGCTTTTTTCCAGGATTAGTTTCAACCGCATCACTTTGCATATAACAAGAAGCTCTTTTCCCGGGTTTATTTTTCATTTTTATTAAATGACGGGCATCAATCCCGCATGTTCCTGAACGCCGTCGTAACAAAGTGCCAAACCAAAATCTATCTACGCAGTAGACATTACCCATTTCCCGAGTGTACCCAATCTCGCAAAGCAATCTGAATTATCCCAAACCCCAATTTTTGTGTTTCCAATCAAGCCTTCCTAGAAGCAGCCCTCATAAGACTCTTCTTCCTCTCCTGCTCCAAAAGCCCCAGATCCCACCACCCATCAATGAAATGCATAATCGTCCGCCTCTTCGACTTGACCCTCTCCAAAGGTGATTTCGGAGTAGTAGGCGAGAGCGAACCCCCCTTGTCCTTGGGCGACGCCGGCGACAACAAGCCCAAGCCCCCCTTATCCTTAGTAGACACCGGAGACAACAGTCCCCGGAAACCCTTCTCCTTGGGAGAAGGAGCAGCAGCAGCAACAGGCGAGACCGTCTCGGGCAGCACAGGCAACGGCTGCACCGCCACCCGTCCCTCGACAATCTTCACCTTCCGAACCGGCGCCGTGGGAGGCGGCGGGAACGACGGCCTCTGGGCGAACGACCCCAGCGGCTTGACGAACTCCCTCTGGTGCTCCGAGTCGGAGTCCGAAGAGGAGTAATCATCGTACACACGGGTCTTCTTCCCCAGCGCCGCGGTCCCCAATGCCGTCGCCGCCCTGCCCCCTCCCCCGCGCACCTCCCTGACCGGGGGCGGGGGGAAGTAGACAGGCGCAGCGGCGGCATTGTAGCAGCCGCGCCCCTCACGGCCGCACCTTCAGTTCTCAATGTCCTTCGGGGCGGAGACGACCTTGAGGCGGCGCCAGAGGCAGACGGCGGTGATGGCGGAGAAGGCGAAGAGCACGCACAGCGCGATGGAGAGGCCCCAGACGGCCTTGACGGCGTAGCAGGTGCGTTGGTCGGCGCCGACCCAGATGAAGTAGTTGAGGGTGGAGGAGGCGCCCGAGTTGGCGATGACGGAGGTCATGAAGGTGGCGGTGCTGCCGGAGGAGGGGAGGGCGGCGCAGTTGAGGTAGGAGAGGGGCTTGCCGAGGGTGCAGGCGACGACGATGACGGCGACGAGCAGCATGGAGTCGAGCGCCGTTGCGAGGAGGAGCGGGAGGAGGGAGTCGTAGTAGAGGATGTAGGAGATGACGATGTAGAGGGTTGCGATGCAGGACTTTTGGTGGTGGTGTTAGTGGGCGGAGAGCCATGGTGAGGGAGAAGAGGACTTACAACTACCAGAGTCCCGATCAAGACGCTCGGGCTCGAGGCGTCGGCGGCGTTGATCTCGGAGATGAAGTTGCTCGTCATGCCGATGATGGCAATCAGGCTGGCGAACTGCATCGCGCGCATGGCGGTGAAGGTGTGCCCGAGGGCGCCGAGCTGCGGGGCCGAAGGCATCTTGCGGAGGGAGGCCGGGGTGACGAGGGAGAGCTTCGGGCGTTGGTGGAGGGCCGTGCGGGTCGGGAAACGGCGCGGCGGGAAGGGGATGCAGGCGGCGGCGGCGGAGGGGGTTGAGGAGGTAATTTTGAAGGTGTTTGGTGAAAGTCGCGTTGTGTTGCGACTTATGATGATGTGTGAAAAAAAGTGAAAAGACTTGTTTGAAATGACTGAGATTGTTTTCGTGAGGTGCGTTTTCGGCGTCTTGACGAAAGAGAGAGTCGTTGGCTGTTGTGTCGAGTCTTTGCTTCGTTTCGATTCGTTCTTCGTGAATGAAAGATGGTTGATAAGTGTCGAAGGAAAATCCGAATTGAAACCGAGAGACCCAGAGATAGGAAATTGACCTAGGAAAGAGAGTCAAGGAAAAAAAGAGAGAGAAAAAGGAAAAAGAAAGAAGACCTTGTTCTGTGATGATTGTTTGATGCTGATGATGAGAGGAGAGAAGAGACTGGCTGACTCCGGATGGCATCAGTCTGCTTTATACATCTTGGACATCGACACTCGATCACTCAAGACCTCAGGCCCAGACTCCCCAGCCTTGCTTGTTGATGCGGTGGTGTGTTGGTGCATGCATTGTTGTTCGTTGCCCCAACAGGCCGGCGTTGCTAATTCCAGCAGACGCGTTCTAGCCTCTCTTGACTTCAAGAGATGGATCCCAGACCCGTGCCGTACGGTACCTGCATACGCAGAATAGACGGGGACCTTGGACCGGACCACAGACGACCCTGCGGTGCCCTGCGCGGACGAAGTGCAGTTCGGCTAGGTATGATGAGCCGCCGGGATGGACCAATGAGATGCCCGGACCGGGGGTGCGGTGCGGCGCTTAGCGGTGGAGAGAACTGAGAGAAGGTTGGACAAGCGACGCGGTTACGACGGCCACCTACATTGCCTACCCTACCTTGAAATTTCAATCCATGACGCCAAATCTATGGATGTCTTGGTATCCGAGCAAAAATAAGGAAAGATAACGGGTCGCCCTGGTGGAGAGGTATTAGGCGCGTCCAATGGCACGTCGAATCAGCCATGGGCCACACCACCACCGCGTCTGTTTCGACCACTGCAGCCAGACAGCCGGGGTTGATTGGGTCTGCTTGCACCCGGCGACTATGGCCTCGGCCTAGCATTGACTTTCGGTGGAGTCATGATCTTCGGACCTGCCTCTCTGCCCGGCTCTGCAAAGATAAAGGGCCGTCATCGAGGCCGCTGTGGGACCACGGGCTGGAGGCTGAGGCGCCTGTTCATACAGCCCATCGCGAATGCAACGATTCAACACCTGAAACGGCCTGGCGGCTGGCGGCCCGGCCGCATGTCTTAGCTGGGGAATGGTTCATTCAGAAGGCCTCTTTCCTGGCCCGTTGGGACTGATGTATGCAGCCAAGATTAGATGGGAGGTGGTGTCCTTCGTAGAGCCTCATGCCCGGGAAGCCAGCCATTGGCTCCGAGTAGGCAACGCGTTGCTTTGATCGGCTTGCTCTATGTTGGGAACTTGCATTGAAAGGCTCATGGATGAACGTGTTGGTGGTCTGGACTTGGTTCGATCGTCTCCCCACCTGCATCGGAGTGTGGGCGCATGAGGCTGCTTGTCGGCCGCAGAGGCTGTGAGGTCCTGTAATTGTAATGCCCGAGTCAACAAACGCATGAGTCTCTAGACGCGTTAGATATGGGCTGCTTTCCTGCCCGGTGATGTCACAATGTGAAAAGTCAGGAGACGAATGGATCGGTAGTGATTCGCTTTGAAATTCAGTTAGATGTTCATATGTTGCAGTCTTTTGCGCGCCAGTACGCCCTGTCTAGCAGCCTACCAGCATGTTGCCTTCTTCACCTCACCTGGCGCCCTCTCTTCTTCAACAAAGGCCAGGTGCCGCGAAAAGACTTTTCTCCCCGTCTCCGTCATTATACTTGCTTAACCAAGCAAGTCGTCCAGGCCATGGTTGCCGCCAGAGGAAGACCCGGCAGCAGGCTTGGGAGTAGAGGAAGCTGCCGCGGGGGCTCCCCAGATACCAGCACTGCTCTTCTCCTTGGCGAGCTGTCCCATGGCAGGGCCAGCAGTGGGAGTGCTCGTCTTCTTTACACCGACGCTAGCCTGAGACCAGAGGGCACCGAAAGCATCGCCTCCAGCAGCTGCGGGCTTGGCAGCAGGAGTCGACGCAGGCTTCGACGCAGCCATGGGGGAAGCGGCGCCAAACGAGCCTCCCGTGTTTTGGGCGACAGCTCCGGACTGGACAGAGCCAAAGTAGTTGGGTCCTGAGGGCTGGTAGCCAGAGGGCTTGGGGGCCTGAGCCGCAGGCGACGCCACAGCAGGAGTGCTGAAGGCAGAGTAGTTGGCGCCGCTCGGGGCTGGGGACATGGACGACATGCTGACCATGTTGCCGATGTTGGCCTGCTGCGGCGCAGATACAGGCTGAGGGGCGGCAAAGGTAGTGGCAGAGGTAGCGGTCATGACGGGAGGGGACAGAGGTGTAGCTGAGGCGGCAGCAGGGGCAGGGGTGGCGGACTGGAAATCGTCGAACTCGTCGTCGTCATTAGCGGCGGCGGGAGCTGCGGACAGAGAAGCCAAGCCGGAGCCATTGGAAGCTGTCGGCGCAACGGGGGCCGGCATCGAGGATGGCGCCGGGTCGTCAAAGGAGAAGAGGTCAACTTCCGGCTCCTTCTTCTTGGGGGGCTCGGCCTTGGGTGCGGCCGCACGCTCGGGTCTCTTGGACCGAGACGCCGAGGAGCTGGCTGCTGGCCTGTCGGCAGGGTCGTCAAACTCATCGTACTCCTCAAACTTGTCGCCGTGTGCCTGTGTCCTTCCGTAGTCGTTGCTCTCCTGTCCACCAAAGCCGCCACCGTCGCCGTAGACACCTCCAGAGTATCCGCCGTAGCCACCCGACTCGCTGCCGAAACCGCCGTATCGACTGCCGCTGCCGCTCGAGAAACCTCCACCAAGACCCATGCCACCCTCAACACCAGTGTACTTGTTCTTGGTCGCGCGCGCCTTCTTGCGCTCCGATCGGATTCGTTCGACGTCGCCCAGGAGCTCGGCCAGCTCCTTGGCGCGGTTTCGCACATTGATTCCCTGGTCCTTGCCGTTCTGGTCGATGAAGTGAAACTGGCGCAGCATCTTGAGCAGTGTGATGTGGCCACGGGCGTCGTCAATGACACGCTCGGAGCCATGCTTGATGAGGAATTCGAGAAGCTGGAGGGCCTTGTAGATTTGTCGCCACTCCTCGGCGGACTTTTCTGTGAATCGGCGGTAAATCATGGGCATGATCTCGTTGAGTGTAGCGCTTGAGGACGTTAGCGGCGCGTACTGGGGTGGGTTGATTGTGGTGATGTACTAATTGAAGGTGCCGTTCGCGATCTCCTGCATGATGCTGGAGGATGCGCCCCAAGGTTCGTTGTTGGTGGCTTCGCGAACCTGTACATGTCAGATGGCGTTTGCCATTGTCCCGTTGATGCCACAAACCTTGGCCTCCATTTCTGTGTAGTTCATGACAGCTAGTAGACGGTCAGTACCTGAGTTCTAGGGGCATCGAGATCGGGATAGCTGTCTTTACCATTTTGGACCTTGCGGACACCGGCCTTGACGTCGTACAGGGTCAGGTTGGAGACCTGGTCTTTGAGCTGGTTCCAATCCATGGCGGCGGAAGTAGCAGCAGCGAATAAGGAGATTGACGATGGCAACAGAGAGCTGGCAGACGGCGCTGTCGAAATGCAAGATGTTTCCCCTGGTGTCCTTTGTGACGACGTTTCAAAGCGAGATGCGCGGCTGCAAGCAGTCCTGGCCACCCTGGAACTTTCAGGCTCAGGCTCAGGTCGGCCTCGGACGGCGCGGCGGCAGGGGGGTACGTACCTCGATTAATTGGCAGTGGTCCTTCCAATGAGATTGAATCAGCCTGAGGAGGGAAAAGGAAAGGGGCGACGGGCCGGAATCACGTGTGATGAGGTAAGCAATCATCCGCGGGAAAGAGCATTGAGGAAGGCGCAGATTGGAAAGAGGGAAGGAAGCAGCTCTCCCCCAGTCAGGCCGACGGGGATGTTGCGTCGGAAAAGCTGCGGTTTGGCTGAGGTGCAGCTCGATCCGGAACAGCCAGTGTTTCTCGACGCGTTATTCTCAGGACATATTGCGTGTTTTTGCTCAATTAGGTTTCAGCTCCTTCCAATTCGATGATGAGGAAGAAGAGGAGATGACAGTGCAGAATCAGAGTTCTTGCCTCAAAGGCTGCGGCAGGTTGCAGGGCGGACACGAACTGACAGCTGAAGGAAGAGCTGCGGCACCGCGTCTCGAGCTTAGCAGGAGCTGTCGTGGCTTCCTTCCCGCTGCCGGCAGAGCTCCGAGTGCCCACAGCGAGCTGCCACCTGACGCTAAGACCGTGCCCAGTGCTTGCCATCTGTCAGCTGCCAGCTACCAGCTGCCATCTGCCAAGCTGAGACTCGTCCTTCTCGTTGGCCGTCGTTCCTCAGGCTGCCCGCGCTGGCGTGCCGTGCCGTCGGTCCCTGACCTCACCAAAACTTTTTTCCCCGGGAGCACCACGTAGAAAGACAGATTCTTCTCCATCAGCAGCATCAGGTCTTCGTCTCTGGTTCCTGTGTATCACCAATCTCCATCTCTTCGCTTCTGTACCTGTACCATTTTTCAAACGTGTAGTCCTGCTCATTGAGGTATGTGGAATGGTTCTTTTCGTCGTCTCGCAGCGTTTTCTCCTCAAAGCTCCCATTTGCACATGAAAGCTCGCAAGCACACAAAATTCAGAGCACTACGGAGCTGGCCAGACGGCTAAGGCGGTTTATGCAAGTCGACTGAACTGTCAGATTCAAGTCTGTGGCTTTTCCTCCAGCTCCCCCAGCTCCTTCGTCTTGCACATCTGGCCCCCGGCCTGAGCTTCCCAAGCTGGCCGGCATCTTGGATAGCTCCAAGCATGGCTGGCTGGCTAGGTACACCGGCGGTGACAGCAATAGCAGTAGCAGCGGCAGCAGAC